TGTAGCTCGCAGGGTCACTGAGGCGCGCAAGCCATCACACCACGTCAAGGTGCAGTCTCGTCGTGATGGTTAGGTTATCGTAATCTACGCCGGCGAATACAATTCTCTACCGATATCGCTGTTATTAACATTATAACATTCGCAATAAAACAACACATGGAGCATCGATTTTTCGGTACACTCCTAACATTATTTGGTCCTGAAGTGTTAAAAATACAATGAACTTGTTGAGTATATGACGGTTATCATATTGATTATAATGATGATGAAGACAGATCTTTATACAGTAAACATTTATCCTTCTTAGTGAATTACTAATGAATACTAATCCACATGAAATGGCACATCACATATTGAGAAGCTCCTCTGTCAGGAGATACATTTTTTTCAATTCAAGGGTCATAATATTATGTAAAAGTTTACGAACTTCATTTGCTATACACACCACGAATTCACCTTTGAAATTGGATCAACTCCTCCATTACCCATATGAAACCTCATAAAAATTGTGTCCATGAACCTGTTTGAGCCAAGATTACAATGTTTCACACGCTACAGTGGTTAAAATTACCGTGAAATTAGTTTCACATGCAATCTGTGTTGCGATCATCACCAGCTGGAGACAGGTGATGCATTATTATTTTTGTCTGCTCAACCTGTATACCGTCACTCGTGTGACTTGGGGACGTGGGTTCCAACTCACAACCCAAAAGTCCATGGTTCAAATCCCGGCGGAGCCACCACAGCCAAAACGGCTGACGTGTTTGAATGCATACAAAACAGCTGCCTGTTGTTCGTAATCGACCATTATACAGCAGTTATCATTGAGAATAAATTGCACTTAACATGCGGTAGAATAAAAAATAAATGAATAAGAAGTTCCAACAGGAGAAATCTACAACCCTAAACGCACAGGAATCTCACACATACGATAGTGAATCAAACGGATTCATCCAAACAACACACGCTAAACTAGGCAGTCTATACCTGTTCTGACTGACGCGGTAATGTATAGCTCCTAAACGGTAGTTTGTTTTTGCTCATTGACTCAGACTATTAGCTGGTTTGTGCTCTCTTCGAACTGGGCTTGCAAACGTTGATTGAATCTATTGGATACACTCCTATCCGTTCATCCCCACCCGGGGATTCATTCTGTGGTGGGTGTGACCGGAGCAACCAAGTGTGCAATCAACTCTGTCTCTCCCTCCAGTAAATCATCAAGTCGAATCGGAAATGAGCACCACACATCGGGGGGAGTAGTGACAGCTGCAACTACAACTAAGCACCATCGGTGGCATGTCCATGCAAAGCGGAGATTTTCATATCACAAAGATCAATATCGAACGGAAAACTCACATTGTGTTCAAAATCCGGTAGAGACTCCATTAGAAAAAAAGAAGTAGTTTAAGACAATCATACTCCTACTAACCCAAGTGAAGTTGTAGAGAACAAATAGTGATTTTAGGTGTTCATTCCAGCCCGTTGGAGATTGTTCTGACCAATAGTTTTTTTTTCATCGGATTAGCGTCGAATTCAAACCTGATTTCAGTAGTTTGATTCCCAAATCAAAAGTTCATATTGAATGTTTCTGGTAGATAGGGGCATAATGAGATTTTCACAGTGGGTCATCACGGACAGGAGTTCGTGAATCCGCCATCAGATCATGATCTGTAACCAGAAGCTTCAAAGAAAATGTGTTTTGAACGAATATTAGGAGGCTAATTCCGGCATCAGTGTAATCGCGTGAGAACCACTATTAGGTGTTGAGCACTGAGCGTAACCGAGCATCGCACAAACTTCGTGTACATGCATAATCCTCAATACATGCTGTCCACCATACACTGAAGAAGCACCACATTCGAGTTCCGGACTCCTCTCATGGAACATATAGGTGCTATCGATGTGCCAATGAATTTACACTGTAGTATTGATCGGAGAATACCTATTAATTGTATTCGGATGTCAACCTCACATGCATTCAGTCATTTTTGGGCTCAATGGCTTCAGGCTAATACACAATGTACCACTTTGAAATGTGAATCACTTGTCTCACGAGAAATCAGGACTTCCATGCAGGTGTGGGTATTCCTGTTTGAATTGTATTGAAGATTTAGTTTCCATGAATCTGTAGTTTTTTTATCATTTAAGTTAAACTAGTTAGATACTGAAAATCATCCGTTTTTCAGTTGATTCCAGTCTCGAATGCCCTCGCTATATTGATGACTGTGTAAAAGAAAAAACCATCGGGTTGTGAAACTGGCAATTTCCATATTCGAGATTGTAGATTGTAAGAAGTACCGGAATAAATGAATAACAGCATTATATATATATATATCGATGAATATTTGAGAATAAATCTTCATGTTTCTTTGGCAAGTTCAAAATTTTAACAACGCCTGAGTTTTCAGAATGAATAATTGATTGGATAAATGGTCTACCCCCAGTTGTACCCAGTTTCACGTCAATAAACAGAGGCTGAGTAAACAAAGTCCTCTAAGGTCGATTTATCGCGTGCCCCATTCCGCTTCTTCACCGGACAGTGTTGTCCGCCGTCGCCTCCCCCTCCCCCCNATCTGTCCTTTACGGCATCCTTTGACTGAGCACATTATTAAGTTTTACAATCTACTGATTCAATGTGACAAGCGATTCCAATGGAACAATTTAGAATAAAAAAAATCAAAGTCTCTTAGGATGCTCCTCTCCCTAGTGTGTGTGGTAATATGAACACTTTTCTCAGGGCAATCTGGGAGATGAGACCAGAAATCCGGCTTAGTAGTTTTTCCAGTGGGAATCCGATTACAACACTCGCGTTTTCTTTTTGCCCAATTTATTCGCAATTTCGACATGAAATTAAGGCAATCTGACCTTCTGGGGAAATGAGATGTGGATGCACTGTAAGAACTCCTATTTGGCGTGACTTGATTCCGCGGGGGAAAATCTTACTTTTATCAGTTATGTTACTTTGGGTGATCAATCAAATGTTTATTTTTACGCTGAACAGTATTTCAGCCACGAATATCATCTCGTGTTGTGTGCGTTCAGGTCACTTCTATTTGGTCCTTGTGTAACTATTATATCTTACAAAAAATACACTCTAACTTGACCTTTTTGTGAATTTTTCTCAGCCCGGTTGCAAAAAAGCATAATGCCTTCCCTACACAAGGGTTCTACTCAATAGGGGATTTCAAACATGCGTCCACTTTGTAGTTGCAAACATTCCTTTCAGTTGTTCAGTCACGTCCACCCCCGCCACCATATCATTTTCTGTCATTCTGAACAAAAAATTCTACTGAACTCTATCGCGCTTTTCCCTAAAAAAAGTGGGAATCTTACGTACTCGCTTTTCAAAACTGCACTTGATTCGCAAGTTAAATCCAACGTTTCCTTCGCCAATGCCATGAATTCTCGATGTGCAAATTGACTAAATCCTAATCCGACCGATTTTCTGTACTGTAACTTCAGCCTCATTCTGTTTTCCTTCGGAGTACAAAGTATTGAGAATTACTATTGCTATGAATAGTATTTAGTCGAGACACTTAATAATTACAAATCATCGTCAGATGTAACTTTGGCTTCACTTACGTTCCTTAGTTCATCCAGATGACCATACTACTCATAAGTAGCTGTGAATAAAATGTCATTGTAATTTGCCAGTTTATTTGTTTCTCGTAATATGTGCTGTTACGAGCTAATATGTCAGCTTGTAAATGATCATCACAATACACATCTTATTGAAAAATCAACATTAAGTTAATAATCACCAATATGTAGGATTTCCTTTCAGTTTCCGAGAAAGTTTGGCACTCGAATTCAAACCCTTATTCGAATGTTGACTGACCTAATTTGTTCCCATGACCAGGAACCGCCAAGGTGGGACCCGGACTATTTGGAAGTTCACCGGGCAATGGACCCGGACCGTAGAATGGAGGTAATAATCCAGCCAGTTGAGCCGTATTTGTGTGAATCGCTTCCAGTTTGGCCGGGCTCGGAATAAACCCAAGGGGACTACCAATTCGAACGCGCCGACCGATCCACCAATGCGGATTGAAACGTTTCTTGATATGCAAGAATTCGCGTGCCTCAAAACTGACCACATGATTTGGGGACGGAGCATCCGAACCGTATAGAGTTGCATCGAAACTGATGTTGGTCCGGACGGAAAAAGCGACCGGTTTAGACTGTTTGGTTGGGAATGATAAGAGAAAATGCGGTGCGGAAACATAATTCCAATTTCGATTTATCAATCAAGGAATGACTATCATATACTGGAATTTATAAAACTACAGTAACAGGAGCGATTTGTAATAACAGAGTGAAATCCACCGTGTAACAGACTCATTGACCTAAATGCATCCACACACACACACACACACACACACACACACGAGCCTTTTCATCTACGGATTCAGATAGTCATAAATAGCATTCCCTTTTCATGATCCTCGTACAATTGGACCAATATTTTCTGATCACTTTACTTCCAAAGGATTTCCACGAGCATTAAAACGCCTTCGCCTCGGAAGATCCTATCGATTGACTGTATAACAGTGTAATTACAAGAACAAAACTCAATGTTCTGAAAGATGACGGAGAAACTTTATTTGATTTCTTCCTGTACTTTTGAGAGTTCAGATTACCATAACTTCAGAATAGGGTAAACTATTTGGCAATTTAAAATGTGAACGTCCAGTGATTCAAATCGAAATTTTACTGAACCATTTAAAAAACAATCCATCAGTATAGATGATGTAGTTCTATCTTTGCAGGGAGGGGGGCCGAATCCACATCGTATCGCACACTAATATTGCTGGAATTCAAACCGCAGTGTTCTGGTGGATAGGATCAAACCAAAAAATCCACGGGTCAAGTGTGTCTGTGGGTGTATGTACAAATAAACCTGTAAAATTCCTTCAATCCTCGGCTTCATTTTTATTATATGGCCTACTCAGGTGCCTAAACAGCCATCGCCCGAAGCTATTCCAATCAAAACTATTATTCTTGTACCACATATGAATCAGTGTTACGGTACTTAGTTTGAGATAATATTTAAACATAACCTATCCGTATTTTTGCCGAATATCAATCAATTCGACATATTGCCAGTGCGTCTTTTAATCTCCTATAGATTTAATCCTGACGCCTAATTCCAGTTCGTTCCGTCGACCGTTCCACAGGAGACCATCAAACTTGATTTGCGGTTCTCCTAGAGTCCGGCAGTAAGGCCTGTCCACCGCAGATATTCCGGGTTCGGGACTGAGGACCCCTTGAATGACATTCCATTGGGGTACCACTATGCTAATTAGTCTACGCTTAACCAGAGTAGGATTCCCGATTCAAATATATTTAAGTTTCATCTTCAGTGTCATCAATCAGGTACATGGACCCAAGAAAGACGGTGTGCTATCTGTAAGCTTTTATCAAAACCCTCCCACCAGATGAGCTCGTTCTCACAAGTCGTAGTGCAAAACTTCCAAAACGAATGCAGTTAGACAAGATTTAGATTTACCTCGTTAATCACTGTTTCTTGTAAGTAGATAGTAGCGTAGCATGGATGTTTTGATTTTTGTACATTCAACAGAACCAGCCATTGTTCTCAGCATTCACCGACGGAATATGTGAACTTTTTCGAACTGTAATCTAGTCGATATTCGGCTTATTAATCAGGCTACGGTCGGGAGGCGGGGGGAGCAGTAATTCCAGTAATTTCCGAACGAGCCATTTTCCGTCAGGAACTTTGTTTTTTATGGATTTGGTGTGAAATGGTGAATCCTTACTTTTGCCTGTTCGACTTACCGACATTCTGAAGCCTAGAAACTCATCCCCGAATCAGACCACAAATAAAGTACATTTCCTGACCTCTTGAGGAAGTTCGTTTTAAAAGCCGACTGTGATTTGAGCAGATGTGTCCAGGGATTGCTTCATAGGAGTCTGACAGAGCATGGACAGAGGATGTTTTCCCACTTTCTGTTTGAACGCATCGTTCTTTACAGCGCAACATTAAACATTATTCGGGGTTTTGAGATTCATTTTTGACCACAACTGATTTTTATTTTTAGCATGGCATCCCCACCCCATTTAAAAGGGGTTTAAAATGCCAGTGTCGATCGGCACTGAGTATTACACGGAATTTAATACTGTAAGTGAGTCACGGCTTTGATTTAGCACGTCCTCCCTTCATGTTCTGGAACAGTTTATTGGTTCCTTTCAATTGGTATAAACACTTGAAACTGAGAAATTTTCTTAAATTGACGCTCACACTACTCTGGTATGCACCATCATCATCATCATCATTGTACAGCGAAATACAGTGAAGCGAACTTCACTTACCGCACCACAAAATAATGTTCATGTGCCAGGCACTAGAAATTCCCTATGGGCATTGAATTGCAACAATGAAGTGAACTGCAAAAATTGTTACTGACACTTCAATAAAATGTATAAACAGAATTTGTTGCACAAATACTATCGGGTTTTACGTTTTACAACTGTCAGCCTTGAACAAGTGCACTTACCACAGCAGCATCTAACTCCTTCAGAGCCAGGCGTTCTAATTCCAACCGCTCTGCCTCTAGAATCACCTCACTGTCGACTGAGGTGCCACTCTCACTTGACCGTCGAGAACTCTGTACCCCGGGGATTTCGGGAACAGTGTGCGTGAAAAAGGGATGGGAAAATGTTTTGAAAAAAACCCATTCAAATAGAGCTCCAATGTGTGTCAGCTGATCATAAACGTTGTATTACACTGTGAAATTGTGAACACAAATATTTTTGATGTGTAAATTTACAAAAACAACCGAATCTACCCATTGAACGTTTTCTCTACACTGCAGACTTGTCTCTCCCTCTCCGTCTCATTGGTTTTAGACGTTAGAACTGCACAGATTTATCGAAAACACACTCATCACGCACGTCACCCTTCAATGAAAAGCCCACGTTATTCAGTTTGGTAGAACTGATTGCACTGGAGTTCGACGTCGGGTATATGACATAGGGGGAGGGGGAAGTTGATCATCTGACATCCGCTAATCAATTAGGACATCTGAAAAGGCTTCGGGACGCTTATTGTATGTCGATGCATTTAACACAACAGGCAGTATTTCAATGATTTCAGGCTTCAACAGATCATAATAAACTGGGTAAACTCTAAAGAAAGAGAACATAGCACAATGTGAATTGTATCGGTCTGCTCAAACCAATAACACATGTTGGGCAATTAGAAAGGGTTGAGGTTGCTGTGAATGCTTTTTTGTATTAGTGATGACATGAGTGTTGTTTGGCACATCTTCCCTATTGTGGAAGCTTTGTGGCACATTTCCCTTCAGCTCTGGTACCCATGATCTCGTTGTTACGTAACAACTAAGTGATGAGCTGTCAATATGTTGTTGTCCTCTTCTACCCAGTAGGGAACTCTGTGATATACAATTAAACGAGGCGTGTGTACATGCTCCGATGGTAGTTTCATTTACTAGTTCTTCAATTCCAAGCACAATTTTGATAAAATCACGGTGCACATTGGTTCAGTTTCGACGGATATGATGTGCAACTGGGTGCTTGCTAACGGGAATGCTGCAGCCATGCACTGCCCATAGTGGATCTCTAATTCGCTGATGCATGCCACCTGAGCTCAGGATGAATGCTGGCTTGACGGCATTCGCATGTAGTGCGACGTGTGAGCCGGTGTCGGCCTGCCCTCCTATACGTGGTTCGTCCCTGCTTGTCCCCCGGTTTGTGAACCGGCTACATATTTGTCGTTTGCAATAAAATTACCGCTTAATTCGTTGTGTGCTCATTTTTCTACTCAATTTGGAACACAACAATATCACTTTTTTGAATGCGAGCAAAAACAAATGTGTGCGCTAAATAGCAAAGACGTTTGGTAGTTTGGTGGATGTGTGTATCTCTCCATGAAGTAGAGCAACGCTTGCCTGAATGCTGTGACAATTGAAAGATCTCTTATATTATCTATTTATGCTCCTCTCCTTTTATTTTAGTTGTTTCCTTCGAAAAGAGTAATTAATTGTTAGATATTTTAGAATAAGCCCATTATGACATGAAAAGGCACGTTCAGAGGAGAACAGTTATGTTGATTGATTCATCTTCTAGCCTGTAAAGGTCATCTAAGGAACTGGCATGTCAAACGAGGATAGACATTCATTCAATGAAAAGTCACCGTAATTGGTTGAAATGGAGAGGGATGCGCGGTGAGTGGCGCGACAAATCTCACACCACTAGGCCACCATAACACTGTAAACGCAGATAAACTTGATCAGATTAAAAACATTCTAAGGGTAGACGGATAGCCTGAAAGGTTCGTCGAAATAAACCTAGAAGAAAAATGGAAACACGATCACGTTCAGGAAGCTTCGAAGAAGAAGAAGAAGCTGTTTATCAAATCGCTATTCAAAGGCGACGACCTGTCAGATTGGGTTAGGAGACATTTGGCGCGTGCTGTAAGAGGAAACTCTAATGCAGCCAGTTTGTAATGCGTATTCACAGGCTCGCCAATAGTCATCTAATAAAGACAGTTTACCTACGCTGACCCCATTTATGTTCATCTTTTAATTCAGTTGCGTTCGTAACTCAACCTATATTGGCGAATGGTGAGGCAACTTTCCAGGCGGATTAAAAAGTCCTGTCCACACTGGTTACAACATGATGGAAAAGATGTCACAGGAAGCGTTATTCTCACCCACCTAGCAGACTCAAGTCACCAAGTGAAGCCTGAATCAGTCTTCGAAAGTATCTTTCGAGCACCGCCTCACCCATCCAAGTCANTCACTGCATTTCCACATCCTAGTCTCGGCCGAAGCGATCGGTATTCGTTTGTTTACACCCAATCTGTGTGCACAAAAGAGATTGGCTCATGCCATTCAGCTGCCATGGCCGAAGATCGATCGCACGAATGACCCATCACAACCTGATTGCAGTGTTAAGGTGACCTAGTGGTGTGAAACTCACCTCACATCCCTCTCCCTTTCGACCAATCACGGTGAATTTTGGATTACGGAATCCTCAGTATGGTCGGGGGTGGGTGTCTAGGGTTGCGGTCGGTCACCCTTCCCTTGCACCTCACAAAATGCTCCCATACGACCAAGCGTTTCAAATAGCCTCTGCTGAGGAAGCCTTACTCACTGCCTTCTCATGGCGGACATGTTTTACCACCAAAGTGAGAGAATGAAAAGCCGATATCCGGGGCTATAACCGGGTTGATGGACCACTGGCAGTTCACCTAGAGAAGTTGGCCAAAAACCCTGATTCCAAACCAACCAAGAGGAGGCGTACGAACCACACACAACTTCCTGGCTGTAGCAATGGTCACCGGCTCGATTGGGCATCGAGGTGCATTGGGCACCTTGGACGTTTGACCCCTTCCAAAGGGCGTACGATCCGATGAACTGGACACCGGCCCCCAATGGACTGCGGTTTTTACACACCGCCCCGCTACCTTGCGGGTCAGGCTTGGGCTTACCAAAGGCTCCGGTTGTGGATTTCACACGAAGATTCACCTGCCTTGGCCTGGGCAACCTGTTAGTATTCAGCCTACAAGCCAATCATGAACGGTTTTTCTTTTTATAAAGATTATTGTACCATGATTTGTTTGGCATAGTCTGGCGTCAGACAAGTGTGAAATATAATATTATAATAATACGGAATGTCTATCATCGTTTAACATGCCATTTCCTTATATGACCTGTACGGGGTAGAAGATTAATCAATGAAAACGATTGTTCGGCTCTGAATGTGTGTTCTCAATTAAATTTTCTGGTTGAAGTTTCCAGTACGGGGAGAGCAAAATGATCAAAACAATGGCAGAGTTCGGTGGTGGGGTTTGAACATGTGATTTCCGGGACAGCAATCTGGTTGGTGACCTTGTTCGCATGACTAGTACGGGGAAACTCAAATTGATTTTCACCGCGCTCACCGAGTGACTACTTGTTTTCGTACACATTAGATCAGCAACAACCGAGGTGGTTTACGCGTGATCAAAATTTGACATTGTCACCGAGACTGGTGACCGAATATTGGGAAGCAGACCTTCTAGTTCAATAGACCAATTCAGTTACATTTAAACAAGCAACGTACCCTGCTGAGGAGCCCGAATGGCAGCAAAGCTCCAGATCGGTCCGGAGAAATCTCACCCATTTCTTCTAAATCGATCGGGACGTTTGGATCAAACTGCCAACTGCTAGGTCAATACTGATCCTCCAAGTTGGTCATTAGGAGCTGATATCTTCCTAGTTTTGACCTAATTCAATTGAATTGTTTTCAGTTTGTGTGAATCAATTTCGATTCTGATAGATTGGGTTGTACGATCGTTCTAACAACCCCGTACAAGAAACACCACTTCTCAGAGGTCACCCGTGTGGTATGAGACGTTGCGTGTTTGCTTGAGCATTGTCCAGCTCTCGTCATTTATGGAGTTTATTATTATCGCAACTCCTTCTAGGATTCACACGTACCAAATCATCTCGACGCGATCTGCTTGCTGTACTGTTTTTTTTTCCAAATATAGGCTCGCACTGATTGCCAAGGGATCCTAACTGATGGCTGTCTACCGCTACAGATGATGAGCAGCGCATGCACATACGACGGTGAATCAGTTCAGCTGCAGGACTGGTGAAGTAACACGATGTTTGCGAAGCCACACGCCCAACTTGGGACAATGTTTCCATGACTTTTCCTAGTTAACTGCATGTGTGGGTCAGGCTGGATTCGTCGACACACCACCGTGCAACAGCCTAATCTCACCGATCACCTATCCCAGATTCGAATCGTACACATTGCAACACTGTGAGCACTGCGAACAGTCGTTTCATCGTGATTAGGCAATCTTTTACTAGAAAAAAACAAGCTTGGTTTCAATGCTTTATCCACTGGCTAATTACAGCACATCATTTAACTCAGGGAACTAACACGAGAAACATTCAAATCAGGGTTTTAGTATGTGTAAAATGGAAGTTCATAGGTTAGGAATCGTTCCATCCAATCTATTTACTGACAGGGATTCGGTCTAAGGATGTGAAAGCTCGATTGTTATCTACAGCAGAGGCGATAGCAATTACTAGAATAAATAAACCCTCACCATGTGAACACAACCAGTTTGTTAAATCCCTTTCCATCCCATGGCCAGGAGTCCGAAGTGCCCCACTTAACACTTCAGTCAAATATTCACACTCCGCAAGGAGTTATCACCAATTATGCGGTCAGTGTTAATACATCTCCCCTCCGTTCCTCCCTCCCAACCCCTGAACTTCCATGTTACACATACTAAAACCCTGATTTAACTGTTTCCCTGAGTTATATGATGTGATGTAATTGGCCAGTAGATGAAGCACTGAAACCAAGCTTGTTCGCCACATTTCTGTTTTTCTAATGAATCAATCTTGTAACAGGCTAAAAAGCTAAGTTTTGAAACACTACGTTTTCGTACTGATTATTCATTGGCATAACCTTTTGTAGCAATGTTAGTCACTTGAATGGTTGAACTGATACGGTTACCAACGTACATTTTACTCTGAATAGCGGGAATGACAGGGCAGTAAAACTAAATACAAGTACTAACGGGAACAGTCACGTGTCCCAGTTGTGTGGGCGGCAGATGAGATGAACACATACCTGACCTTGAACGTCACGAGGGCGCACGGGCACGCACACGGGCAAAACTGTGCGCTGTTTCCCGTTTGGGACCCGATTGGGCGTGCGAGGGACAGGGAACAGAGGCGTACTGTGTGCACACGTGTGTGTGTCTGTTGCGTGGTATGCGTGAACCCGTGTGCATGTACGTGCGTGCTTGTGTGCATGCCTTAGGACACATTTGGTCGGGCAATCGATTGTTCGATCACTGGGCTGCGTGTTCCTGTGCTTCCGATCAATCGTGAACCCGTTTTCAATACGAGGTATTCTGCCATCAGCTACGACAACACTGAAAACCCAGTAATACCTAGATAGGCACCATTTGTGTAGAATGCCCAAATAAATTTGTTCCGTCAGCTAGACGCCATGGGGATAGGAATTTGGAAGTTTACCTGGAGTGACTGAACACAATCGGGACTGATATGGAAGCATCGAATAATCCGTTGTACTGAGTGTAATCAATAAGTTGATCTAGGAATTGTTTTAATGTTTCTTTCCGATAAAAATTAATTCTAAGTTACGCAATCCTCAGCGAGTGTAAAAAGACACCATCCCGGAGATTATCTTTCGTTTAGGGAACTTCTGAACACATCTTGTCTTCATTGCAGAAATACTTGATTTTGAAAATCAACAAAGCAGAACAATCGGGTCTGTTGCTGTATAATCGTGACGAAAACGGGGCCAAATACTACTTTTGACCTATTCCACCCACACACAAAAGTATTGCTGCATGTAACCACCCAGACCTAACTCACTTCGCGACCAATTTAAAAAATCGTTAGGCGTGGGGCACTTTCTCGAATATCATCCACCATTCCCTATTGGACATTTTTCTTTCGTCCGGTGCTATTTGACTACCGGGTGCATAGAGCTCGACCATATCAATTGAAAATGTGATACAGTTCATTTTTCGCTCCACTAAAGAAACGGAGAAAAACACTACCTGGCGATTGTTCCGCAATCCGGTACTTGCTTATTCACAAACCCGATTACGTGTTTTACCAGCCAATCTCTATACTCTATAATACTGAAAACAGTCTTCAAATCTAGATCAGTACCAGACTAGTCACGGTCGGAAGACTAGTAACTGATGCCCCGCTAACGAAGTTTCGGTGAAAAATTGCGGTAATAAAAAATGGATCAACTTGTGGGATCGGTACGCGCATGGATTGTGTATAACAGCTTTGTTGAACGTGTCCTCTAATGAACAAATCTGTGGTATATGAGAGGAATGCAGGAGTTGATTTGATTAGATGATGAATTCGTTGTGTAAATGAGGCGTCAACTGAAAATCTAGGAACCACTGGACACCTCTTTCAACCTGGTTGGGCCTCATCAGCAGTGTGAATCTATCGACCCGACTGGGAATCGAACGGGAGACCTCACGGGCAGAACGTTAGTGAAGGTTTCCAACGAAGTCATAACCCCGGAATTTAGTGCTGAGATGAGCGAGGTCTGTTGTCCATAGCAAGCTCGCAAAGATGGGTTGTGATATATCGTGTATGTTCCAAAATGAGAAACGGTCCGATCAGCTGTCCGGTGTTCGAGTGGATTGCATGCTTGTGTTCTATCTGTGGGGTCCCGGGTGTGATCTCCAGTTGGGTCGATGGATTCGCACTGTTAATGAGACCCAACCGGGTCGAAACAGCTGTCCATTGCTTCCTAGCTTTTCAGCTCACGCCTCATTTACACAACGAATTCATCATACAATTCTCCGGTAGTTGTCTGAAGAAAACACCACATTTCCGAGTACCATGTAGACGACAAATCTGACTTCAGACTTGGTGACTACATATGTGGGCAAAACGGGCCCGACCGGTATTTGCTGTCACTGAATGGTCAACAATAATCGCGAAGGGGATCAACCCAATAAATGATTGCCTTTGTGTACAAAAACGCGGCATGAGGCTCGAATACATGATCTGCGCGCAGATAAGACGGCCACCTCTATATTACTTAAGCACTCCCAACCGACGTTNCTCTCTCTCTCTGGACTAAAGAAACAATAAATGAAGGACAAAGACAACATTATCTTAAATCGAGGATTTTTCAAGCATCACTGCGAGATTTCAAAAATGATAATCGCTCAATAGCTGGATGCCTTTCTACGGAGAACTATTCTGAAGCAAACGGGGATAAATAATGGAGAATCATGAACAAAGCTATTGACAAAACACACTTGAAAGACTCCCGAAAATGCCGGATCAGACAAATTGGAGGAACAATATAGACAAAGATTTGTGAACGCTAATCGGCAGACAGAAGGCCAGACGCAACATCACTCATTTTACTCCATGAAGACGAAGAAGGATGTAAATTTGGCTTTGTATCATGCACCATACCCGATCAAAATAAGAGAAATTTTTCAAGGTTTTTGGCATTCTAAGAATAACTCAATGAAGAGATGTGCAGATCTGGACCATGTGTGTCAGATGACCCAAAAATTAAACAGTCTGAAAATGGACCAAAGGCCTTCCCCCTCCCAAGTTAGAAGAAAGAACATCTGTCCTTCGGGTCGGCTCAGAGAAATGACAATTTTGGAACCGAACGTGGCCGGAGACGAGTTGGTATGAGTGAATGGACGGAAGTAGAAAACCGTCATACTACAAGTACCGACGTTTTCACCCCGGGTAGATCAGTTGAAAAGAAATAACTGGATATCATATTTTCAGGTGTTCTTGTATGATCACATGGAACAACTAGCCTTGTATTAGAAAGAAAGGACATCCTTGGAAATTTAATATAAAATCATTTATTTAGAAGGTGTTCTATGGCCATTTGACCCTCATGTCCCAGAGAATACTTCCGATAAACTGCCGACAGTCAGCAAAATCACCCAGATGCCAGCCGAACACAAGGGTCAAGAACTCACAATCGAGCACTCAGAATCGCTACGGACCGATTTGGATAGAACAGATTTGATCAGTGCCAATCAATCAGAACTAATTTTCAGTGTTGAACAAATACAATGATATGTTTGTTGTACCTCTTGAAATACCTCACATGTGAATCTTGATCTATTATTTATATTATTCATTTCGGGGAACTGGTCTGTTGGAACGTGGCTAACGAAGGCGGAATGGTTTAACCTACATCCTTGAAGATGTAGTTTCAGTGTTCACTCTGGACATTATGTCATAGCCGTAATTGACCACTAGCAAATACATCGATACGTTGCGATGGGAACTTTGAACAAAGGCCATTGTGACAACGGCACACGTTACTGCAGTCAACACCTCTGGAGAAACATAGGGCGAATTGTGTTTGGATACCGTAACAAAGAGAAACCGATAAAACAAGTGTCCCAGATTTTGCTTTTAAATGCCAAGGTATTACATTCATGAACACCTCTATGCACTCACATATAGTGGCCAGTTATACTTTCGTTTTGACTGAAAATGAATTGGACTCCCAGTACGGGGGACTTTTATGGTCTAATCCAGTAAGATTTCGGTATTTCACGCTTCAAAAACCTCAGTCGTTTCATTTCTGCTTACACACACACGCAC